TTCTTTGCATCTTCACTAAGCAGCTTTGCCATTTCTTCTCCTTTCGTTTTTTCTCGTTCTTCAGACGCTTTCTCTCCCAAATTCTCCGGATCATCTCTATGACCCTCGCGGTGGCCCTCTCGCTTCCTTTTCTTTTCTTTATCTTTTTTTCTCTCTTTCTCTTTACTGGGAAAGAGAGAGACTGACAGGGAACCACCATCATGGCTGCGTCCGCATTCAGACAGGGTGTTGAGACTTGTGTATTTTTGTACGTCAGTGTCAACATTGTTATCCTGCACAATGCTAGGTGATGATGGATCATCTAGCCGGGGATGTGCAGATATCTTGCCAGAATCAGCAGTGCACTGGAGTTCCTTTCCAAAATTATCTCCCTCACTTGCAATTTTTGCACTGCCTATGCTCGCAGTCATCCGGGACCCACGATCATGACATGAATTTACTTCCTCAAGATTTTGATTACTAATGCTTACAGCCTCAACTGAATGTCTTTGTGGTGCATCAACTGAGACTGAACTGGTCGCGCCACGGTCAATATCATGATTAACTCCCTGTGATCTTTCAACAGTTCGATTATCAGTCTCTGCTCTGCTGGTTGCAGCAGATTGTCTGACCCTGATCTTAACTACCGGCTTCTTCTTCTCATGACTAATGGAAACAGCATCTACTTCCTTGGAAGCTTCTCGAGTGACTGAATTATCATGCTTCTGGTTTAGGATGTCTGCAGGACGTTCTGGAAGCTGTTTCTCCGTATGAATATCACTAATGGGGTCTGACATCTTTATCTCAGGACCAATAGCAGAAGAAGGTTCTGGAGGCCTTATTCCAGAATCAAGAACAGCTGCAGGCTGGTCTTCAATAACAAGAGGCATGGAAGGTTCTGCCGGCTGGCCTTCTACGGAAAGAGGAGCAGAAGGTTCTGGAGGCTTTGTTTCTGCAATGAGAGCTGCAAAAATGTTCTTCTGCTTACTGCAGGTCTCCATATCACCCATACGCAATGATTTATCCCTAGGTACTCCAAGAAGTGTTGGCGATCTGATATTGAGAAGCAACTTCAGTTTCAGTATTACATTGAGTTGAAAAGAAAAAGAACTACAAAGATTTTCCGCATAGAAATGCTAAACAAAAACAAATGTCCATCCTCTTATCAGACTATCCATGCGATAATTACTGTTATTTTGAACAAAATGAAAGACAATAAAAAAGAAAATTCCAAGTTCATCATGACGATTAACCTCCACTAGAAGAAAACATAGTATAAGTTGCAATGGATGGTAGGACAACAAAAGGAAGAATGCCGATCCCTTGTCTGGCTCAATTCTCATTCAACCCCTAATTCTAAATTTTCATATTGGTCCTATTATTGTATAATTAGGACATAATTTTATTATATTTAAGTTACTAGTATTTCACCTTGAATTCTTTAATAATGGAAATTCAATTCTTACTTTCCAAGGTAGGAGGTGAATTCCCACGTTAAATAATCCATGTGAACATAATAATAACCTAAATACTAAAAGTTATGCTCTAATTATGCATAATATGATGATACGAGAATCAAGAACTAAAAATTGACAAGACATTGAATTGGACATTAAACCAAAAGAACTCTTGTACCATATGATTAAATATTCAGTTTGGAAATATTAATGAGGTGCAAGGAATTCAGATAGGAGGAATAGTACTCTATTCTATCTGGTCCTTGCTATTGAAGACGAAGTATTCCCAACTGCTATCATTGGCCAGAATATTGCAAATGATAAGACAATAAGGAACAGGATAAAAGTGGAACAACAGAGGTCTTAGCTGATCCCTATATGCCTCTATTTGAGTTGATAATCTAAAACCATCTCCATTCAAACACATTGGCCCACATCAATTGCAATCAAAGATGTAATCCATAAAGTCAAGGAAAGATCCTTTGTGACAAGAAACAAATGTTATGATTTCATCCTTTTCTAAAAACAGAAGCTACTGGGAAAAAAAAAACACTACCACAAAGGTTTTCTAAACCCAAAAGGAGGAGAAAACCAGGCACACCCACCTTCCTCCAAGTATCCGTAAAATACAGAATAAGTAATGGCGAAGAAACACATTGTTGAATGCTATACGGCTCTCAAGCAAATGAAGTAGAGCCACAAGAGTAACACTATCAACCTCATCATTAGAACCAGATCCAACACTTGTCTGACACAACCGCATAGCATGCACACCCATTTTAATCTGCCCTGCATTAAGGAAAAATTTAAGAAAGTAAAATATACAAAATGTTACCACGAAAATGGGGCAAAAGTGAAAGGGACCAGACAATGACAGTTTTGCAAAAGGGGATCAGCAGCAAACCTCTCAGAGTTGGCTCTTCCATTATAAACTTTATAAACAATAACAATGCTGAATTAAGGCCTTTGCAATAAAATTCTATATCAAGAAGTGCTCTGTTTGCTTCTACTCGAACAAGCCATAATGCCTTCGAATCCCGAAAAGGTTTAATAAGCTCAAAGACATGATCCTGTATTTAATAATAAATCCCAAATGATCTATCGCCAGATTTACCGTATAGAAGAAAGAAAAGAGAGAATCAAAATATTCAAGATTTCTTGTTCTTTTTTTTCTGAAGAAAAATACTCACAAGATTGATCAGGGCAGAAAGCTTATGTGCAATTTGCGTCAAGGTTCGAATGCAGCTGATTGTCAAGATCCCATTGTAGCTAGGCATCAGCCTGGTAAATCCATTTTCGATTAATTACTCATTACAGCTATTATTTGATAAACCAGTTATCCTAAACATTAACAACAAAGCAACCTGTCAAATTGCAAAAGTCGATCAATGCGCTTGAGAAGAGACGACAAGAAGAAAATATTCTGCCACAGGTCCAAAGAAACACCAAAAATAGTTAAGCATTCTGAATAAAAAGATAATTGTATTTAGTTCAACCCCGTGTTCAGTTGTGCAAAAATGGCCTGCAGGATATTTTCTGGTCAAAAGGAGCTGCATGCTAAAACCAAAATTCAAAACACCTCCATATAAATACTTATCTAATAACACCAGCCGAGGAAGACGCTCTAACAAGACTAAACAATGAAAAATTAAAAATTGAAAAGATTCTGAGATAAATAACCTTGACAAATCCAATTTTTTAGCTACATGTTGACCATGACAGACAAACTGACCTGTTTAAGGAAACAAAAGGAACACAAATAACTAGGTAGAAAAAGACAAAATTTCAACTTCTCAACACTGACTGTTAAACCCCCCAACAGAATGGCATAAATTTCATTTAAAAAAAAGAATATAAGAAGAGATATATTGGAGAGAGGAGGATTAATAGAGAAGAAAAAGAGGATATGCACAGAATGGTATAGAAGATGTTCAAATTGAAGCAAATATCTTCCAACACGTCCTTCACATTATGAGGCTCAAGTTATAAATGCACCCTAGGTCCACACTCGTGGTTGTAGTTTCAATTAACCACGCTGAAGCTGCTATTTTTTCTTATTGTATGTAATTCTTTACATAATTCAGTTTCCTAATATATTTCACTCAACTAAGTTCAGTCTGTACAAAAAGCTCACAGGAAACAAAAAAGAAATCCACATACCATAAAAGGCTAGAATTTGTGATGATTAATTCACTTTGTCCATTTTGCAGAAGCACTGGGTTGATTTTTTTTTTAAGCTTCTTTCTTATTTATTTCTCTTTTTAGGTTTTTAGTAGGGGGACACCATGTGCTGCTTTTCGCTTTTTTATAATGCTTCTTTTATCCAGAAAAGAAATTGAAATGCTAAACTCTGGACTGAATAAGAATTTTACAGACATCACATCATAGAAATATGCTTGTAACAGAATACTTTCTTTGATTCATTCAGCTCCAATGTTACATGCATTTCACTTCAAGATCATATTTTTAGTTTTAGTAGACCTGTATAATAAATGAATATGATTTGAGAGCATTTAGGTTCTTTTTTTATTAACTTTGCCTTCTTCAATTGTCATTTAATTCAATGCACCTAAAAAAATCGTGGTCAAAATGTTTTAGTTTAAGATATTTAAGTTTGAAGGCAACATAGTGTCTTGCCTGTTAATTGAAAGAGAGAAAAATATTGTGGTCAAACTTAAGATCATAGTCTTTCACTAGGTTAGTACTAAGTCATTTTAGAAAGCTTACAAGATTTTTTCAAAGAAAGAAAGATGTTTCCCGCTTACTAGCTTACGAAAGAAGCTGTCACAAGAGCTTCTAAGCTAGCTAACTTGTAAACTCTTCATCTTATCTTATCCTAAACAAGTTGAAGAAAAAAAGAAAAAAAAGAAAAAACTTCTAAGTTCTCTTTGACCCAAACATATATTAGGTTAAACACCCTCATAAGTGTGGTTAAGATGATCATGGTAGCTGAAGTTTCCACACAGTAATACCAAAGAGAAAGATTGTTAACAAACCTGCTGACCAAATTCAAGATTACCAACTGAATCGACAAATGCAGCAAGCCAGAATACATCAGAGTAAGGATTTCCAGTGTTATCATTATACTGCAAACCAATAAAACAAACAGAATGGTAAACAATTATTACTCGCAAAGATGTAAAAGAAAATTTGAACAAAAAAATTAAATGTTGCTTGAAATTTCACGTGTGCACATGAGTACAAAAGCACACAAATCATACAGACAGAACTAAATACAATTCTCTGTCTAACCTGTAAAATTTGAACTGCAGGATTTACAAATACATTATTGCAAAATGATAAGTTTCGAAAACCGATTATCCCAAAAGCTTAGTGTTACAGAATATGATTGAGCTTTTTTCTAAAAAAAATTAATGTAACTTGTTGTAGATAGGGCTTGAATCTGGATCAATCACCTCTCTAGAGGTGACTGTCACTAACCGTCGTAGCAAATGTGGATGGTTATATGATTAAGCTTATTATTTATACTTTCAGGAGTCTTGTGCAAGTTTATTAGGCTAAATGCATTAACAAAATACAAAATACATTTTAAATTAATGTTAGCAAAACTGGTTGCATCTAAAATTCCGATTTTAATCTCTAACTTCAATGCCAAATAGAATGATAGAATTATATTAATATGATATTGCTCAATTTATTAGAGATCATATAAATATAACGAGTAAGAACCTATAGGAAAGTAACATTTGTTTCTTCAGCCTACCTCTATAGAAATATAACCATCAACCTAAAACTACTACATACAATGTGAAAATACTCAAATAAATCTTGAACCTAGTAAACAAATTACAAGAAAGCTCCATATCTTTCATTAACTTACACTCTCTTCATATAAAGGGCAATATGAAACTCTTGGGCCAAAGCTAAAAAAATTCTCTTTATCTAAATAGGATTAACAGAAATGATATTCTCCCAAGTTAAACCATTCAGTTTTTCATTCCAACATTTTCTTTTGGGCTAAAACACTATTTCCACCCTCAAGTTTCGAAAAATGTTCACATTGCATCTTGAAATTTTTTTTGTTCAAATCTACTCTTCAAATCGCCTTCTTTCTATTACCACCCAATGACATCATTAGAAGTCAACACACATCATTGATGACACATGCAATGTTAATCCCCGTCGACACTAAGTGTCTGTAGAACCACTTAAAATTGATGGGCTACTTTCCCATCTGTGTCCTAGAGGCACATTTGAGAAACAGCATCGTTCCCCTTTGCAAATGAAACTCCATGATCCTCCACCCACCAACCGCCCAAAATTTGCATGTGCCCTTGTAATTGTCCAGAATCTCCAATCACTTGGTGTTGATTGAAGCTGGGAGACCCAAAACAATGGTGATATCTTGTATGCTTCCAACGCCGTTGTCTCCTCGCATGTTGCAGCTCTTCACAAAGTGTTTGTACTTCTGTGGGTTGTCGAAGTTCCAAAGTAGCAGCCACTTTGCATCGACCAGCACATCAAGTCGTTGGGTTATTAACAATGTTCATGTGGTTGGTGTAGGCTCCAACTTGAGGTAGGTTTTGATTAGTGACTTGAGCTTCTTGTATTCTTCCTCCATGAGACCCTGAGGAGGTGGAGAAGGAGGTAGAGAACCCACTGATGAATATTGAGTCAACTCAGTAAGTTGATCAACAAAACAGGAATTAATGATGTAGGAGGAGGAAGAAGACAATTTTTATTAAAAAAGAAGCTAGTCGACGAGTTCGTCAATAAAGGGGGTGGGATATCCTCAGACTTCGTTGATGAAGCCAGTGGCAGCGCTCTTTCTCGATGAAGCTGATGGTGGAGGAACGGGGAAGATGATGGAGGATCGTAAAGCTCCAATGGCAAAGGGAATAGGTGTTGTCTCTCAAATGTGCCTCTAGAGCACAGATGGAGAAAGGAGTCCATCATTTTAAGTGGGTCAAATGTGACGTCTACGTGGATCAAAATTGTACACGTCACTGATGACATTTGTTGACTTCTAACGACGTCATCGAGTGGTAACCGTAAGGGACGATTGAAATACTTTTAAAAATTAAGAGTTGATTTAAACCCCAAAAAAATATTAGAAGTAAGATTTGAACATTTTTCAAAACTTAGGGGTGAAAGTCATGGAGGACCAGTTCTTCCTATGCCTTAAACATGTGAAAATCCCCTCTCCACCTCCTTCTTTGGTGTCCAGGAGTTGGAAATTTGTGGGAATCAACTTAGCGCATCTTAAGAAGCAGCATGCCCACCTTCAAGAAGTGAAAAAATCTTTTTATGCTATTCCTCTTTCTTTAATAGCCTTTGATCACTCTAGTTACTAAAAAGAATGAGGAATACTAATTCTTAGAGAGAGAGTCTCTAGCTTTTGGTGCGAGGCATTATTGCCTTGACAGTGGCAATTTGGTGGAAGAACTACTTGGCATTCTTGCAGCAATGAGCATCGTGTTCTTCGACGAAGTTTTGCCACTATGATCAGGGAGCTGCTGGTTAGAGTTGCCTAGAGTCTTTGATGGTGATTATGAAGTTTCCAATTTCTGCAATTGAGAAACGCTGTTGAAGAAGATGTGAACTAACAACTAATAGGATTGGGCCACTAGTTGCTGAATGACAAGCCTAGCCGCCCGGTGGGGCGATGGAAATGGCTAATCAAGCTAGAATACTTCTAGCCAGTGAGAGTGAGACTTCTAATGTGATTTGTGAGGGAAAGAAAATGGAAGGAATAAGAATAAGTGAGAAAGAGAGGAGATTTTGAATTTCAATCTCGTTCAGGAAGGATGAAGTGGACTGCTCATTTGGAAGCATTATAGGAATTCTATTGGACCAGGCAAGGGAGTGTATGGTACCAGAACAAAAAGAACAAATCATAACTTGTCGGTGGCAAAGGGAAAAAATAGGAAATAGTGGAGGAGAATGGTGAGGCAGTGAGACGCATTTTCATATCAAAGGGTAAGAAAGCTGGCAGATAGTGGAGGATGATAGTGACGGTGTTTGATCTGGCGGGGTGACAGTGGGAACGCTGAAATAACAATATAGAGACAAATGAAGAAGGTTCCAGGAGACCGACAAACACCAGAAAAATCGCTTTGTTGCCCGATCTATAGGACAACACTGGGGGTGAGTCTAGAAGTTAAGAGGGAGATGAGTCACGTGGAAGCCACAGAGGGTCGTGTAGGGCAGATGAGGTTTCGCGACGAAATAGGTCGAATGGTTTTTAAACTTAAAAAACAGAAGGATCAAAACACAAGCAAAGGGAGTCGCTTTACTAACAATCAAAACGCACGAGTCATGCATCTTTTTGGGGTCAAGGAGAAATAGGCTCGGGTACAACAAAGAGAACCCAACTCAAAGAAGAATGTGGGCTAGGTACGAAATATTTGTAGGTTGTAAAGGAGAAATGGCTAGAAGGGGTTGAGCAGGGTAAGTGGGTTAAAAAAAGGTTCTGGGTCTAAAATGGGCTTGGCGACCAATGTCCCAAAAACAAAAACTGCAATCTGCACCCTGTGGAGGTGGGGGAAGGGTGCAAGTGTCACTGAAAAAGGAAGTCAAAAAAGGAAGCTGAGGCCAGGGAGCGTGGCAGAGGTGAGGGGCTGACATAAATGAGTATGAAAGAGAATGAGAGGCTGCACGAATGGTGTGTGTCATGAATTAGGAGGCTGCAGAAGGGCCTAATCAAAGTCTGACGATGGTCCTGGTGGAGGATGATGAGGTCAGTGCTATCCTAACGAGAGATACTGGTGCAATGGTTTCCGATGTAGTGGTTACTGATGATGTGGTGTAGAGGCATGAAATGATGATGGGGGAGAATCAGGGAGAGAAGACAAGGTATTTGAGCAAAGAAAAGAATTCTACATGGGTCATACAAAACAGTCAGAGGATCAGCATCATGCTTGGCATTACCTTTGCCGGGTCAGAGAAACAGGCGTTAGGGCTATTTAATGAAATAGAGAAAAGAATGATGGAGAAGATGAGATGTGAAAATTCACAGATTAAAGCTAAAAGTAAGCGGGGGGTGGAGGGATCTAGATAACTAGGAAGATTATAATCTAGTATTAACTATGACAACCAAAGAAAGGAGACAAGAAAAGTAGTGGAACTCAGGAAGCGGCTTGGATTATGTTTGGCTGAATTATTTCATGGAATATAAGGAGAATAAACAACTATAAGAAAAGGCAAGTTATTAGAGGGTGCATAACCAGGTGGAAACCTGATGTAATTTGCCTGCAGGAATCCAAGATGGAGACACTTTGATGGAGTTATCCAGAGTCTTTAGAAGACTAAGAAGATTTGGGAGGAGAGATCTGCAGCTAGAGGTGCTTCAGGAGGAATAATGGTGCTATAGGAGGAGGGATCCCTTAGATGCAAGGGGGTTATGTTGGATAAATGTTCCTTTGTGCTTTTTTGAAGATTGTATAAATGAATGAAACTGGGCTGAAGTTTATAACAGAGGGAAAAGCAATGAGAGAGTTTTGCTGTGGAAGGACATGGAGACTTGCAACCAAAAGTTGCACTAGCCATGAATAGTGGAAGAGAATTTCAATATAGTTTTAAAGAGATATGAAGGGAGCATTTTTCGAGGTCTTGTGTCGAAGAGTTCAAAAAGACATCAGATGGAGTTGATTTAATGGACTTACCTCTTATGGGAGGTAAATGAACCTAATCTAACCAAAGACTCAATCCGACGTGTTTAAGGATAGACAGATTCCTGTGTCAATGACGTGCCATTTACAAACAATGAGCCTTTGCCAAAAGCTATTATAGAGGCCCATATTTGATCATTTTCTTATTTCCCTTATTTCCGATGAGATAAACGCGGACCAATTCCACTCATATTTGAGGAAAAGTGATTAAAAGTGGATGGATTCAGTGAAAAAGTTAACGATTGGTGAAGAGAGACTGCAGTGAGAGGTAAGGCAAGTTATAGGGTTGCTCAAAAGATGAAGGCTGTAAAAACTTAAAGTCAAAAAGTGGCACAAGGAGGAGGGAAGAAATGAAGATATCATATTCAATCTTTACTTCAGAATATTGAGATAATTGACAGGAGGGAGACGGAAGGTGATGTGTCTGTTGAAGACTTAGTTTGTAGGGAATCCCTCAAGTTTGAACTGGCAAACAATACACAAATGGAGGAAATTTCGCATAAATAAAAATTTTGAAAATAATAAAAAAAAATCTCTGAAATGATTTATGAATTTCCAATAGATGTGCAGGGTGTTTGTAATAGGTCTATGGGGTAAGGGTTTGTTGTTGAGGGATCTAAAACCAGAAAAGAATTTTAGATTTCTTATGAAAATGGAATTAAAATTAGATTGAGAGCCAGAAGGACTAAGGAGGGGGACAAGAATACAAAATATTTCCATAATATAGCCACTTACCATAGAAGGATTAACCATGTGGAGGAGATCGAGATTGATAATCGACTAGTTAAGAGAAACAAACAAATTAGACAAGAGGCTAAAGAGTTCTTCTACAAGCTTTTACAGTGAGGAATTTGTTGGAAGCCTAAATTGGATGGTCTACAATTCAGGATGTTAGATCAAATGAGCCGTCTATCACTGGAAAGTTAGTTCACTAAAGAGGAGATCTTTAAGGGACTTATATACTGTAGCAAGACAAAGCCCCAGGTCCCGATAATTTCAATACGGGCTTCATTCAAAAGTTTTGCCATGTAACGAAGAAAGATATTCTAGAGCTGATTGAAGGAATTGCATGATTTGGGGTCCTTTATCAAATCTTTAAACTCCTCATTCCTGTTTCTCATAGCCAAGGTGGAAGGGGCAACAAACATGAAAGACTTTAGATCTATATGTTTGGTTGGAAGCGGCTACAAGCTCAATTTCAGAAGTATTAGCCAAAAGAATGTCCAAGAAGATAGATAAAGTGACTCGCAAATGTCAACATGCTTTTGTTGAGGGCAGATAAATTCTGGACGCAGTGCTTGTGACTGAGGTGGTAGATGACTTGTTACACCGAAAAAAGGAGGTTGTTCTGTGCAAACTGGATATGGATAACATTTATGATCATGTTAATTAGAGTTTTATCGATCACATGTTAAAGACGATGGGTTTTGGGGATAAGTAGTGAAAGTGGATCAAATCTTGTATTACTACCCTATCTTTTGCAGTCATTATTGTATGGGGGTCCATCTTTTTTCAAGACTTCTAGAGATCTCAGACGGGTGATCCACTCTCTCTACTTTTCTTTATTGTGATGGAAGCATTGAACAAATTATTGTTGAGAGTGAGGGAGTTGGAGTTGTTTAAGGTTTGAAAATAAGTAGGGATGATAATACCTAGGAGGTAGCACATCTATTTTCCGTCGACAATACTTTATTCTTCTGTGAACCGGAAGAAAGAGCAATGTTTAAAAAGATTTTTGATTTTTTTATTTCCAAAGAGTTTCAAGACTTAATATCAACTTCACCAAGTCTGACTTGGTAAGATTGTGTGATGGAAAAGATGGTACAAGGTCAGCAAGAGTTCTGGGATGTAAAACAATGGACTTACGATCAAGTATCTGGGATTACCTTTGGGGTTAAACTACAAAGGTAAGAGGATATGGGATCCAATGATGGAGAAATTTGAAAGAAGGTCGGCAAGGTGGAAGAGAAATCTTTATCAAAGGAGGAGAGATTGACACTTGTTAAATGCACGTTGGGTAATCTATCTACCTATTACATGTCCCTTTTGACAAACTCAATAAAAGTGGCCAAGAAATTGGAATATATTCAATGTAGATTCTTTTAGGATGATTTAGAGAATAGGAGGAAATACTATTTGGTGAACTGGGAGAAAGTAAAAAAACCTATGTCCCATGGTGGCTTGAGGTTGAGATCCTTTGTGGAGATGAATATGACTCTACATGGAAAATGATTATGGGGATTCATGAAAGAGAATGGTACTCTTTGGTGGAGAGTGATTGAGGCAAAGTTCGACACTATGAATAGGAGCTGGTTTTCTAGGGTTGCGACAAGGCCGCACAGAAGGGGATATACAGGAAAATTAGAAGATGTAAGCATAAATTCTAGAAATGCATCAGGTAGAGTGTAGGCAAGGGGAACAGAATTAATTTTTGGCAGGACTCTTAGATTTATGCTTTTTTTTTAAATAAAAGTATATAGTTGTATTGCAATGTGCACGAAATTGTGCAAATCATGTACAGTTATTTATAACTTAATCCTCTATACAAAATCCGTTTCTAAGCGACTCAACAATAACCGGAGGATGACCCAAAAGCAAAAAATTTAGGGTCCGAAGCCATCTATTTTTCAGTACATCATATTCCTTCGTGTCATCAATCCCCTCGAAAACTCTACTATTTCTTTCTTTCCATACAATCAACATTATACTAAGAGGAATTATGACTGCCAAAATACAGCAACCTTTAAGATTTTCCCATGCCCCAATCTCAACCTTTACCGAGCCCGAAACAACCCAGCTGATCCCTAGACATCTGTACACTTCCCACCACAGCAGATAAACAGCAGGACGGTGTAGCAAAAGGTGGCTGCAACTCTGTTCAGCCTGTTTACAGAGGTAGCAAGCATTAACCAAAATTAATTCCCGTCTATTTGGTTTATCAATTGCCAAGATGCACTCCGCGTTAGCTTCCCAAGCAAAAAGAGAAACTCATGGAGGCACCTTAACTTTCCAGATCTGTTTAAACGGGAATGCTTTCCTTATGCACTCATGCTATTGTGATGTACCGTCTTTCTGCATCAAGATTTTACAGTAAACAAGCCTTTTTTGTGATATTCTACCAAGGCTTATCATCATGATGACCCAACAGAACCCGGACAGTACCCTCATCAAATTATCATACTCAGACAGCTCCCAATCTCTTAGATTTATGTTATAGCATGGTATAAGGATATCACAGTTTATGAGTTGTACAAAGATAATGGAGAGAATACACAATGGATTGTGTACATTGTGAGGAATCTAAATGATTGGGAAGTAAATGAATATGAGTTTCTATTAAATATAATTTCCCTTGTTAGTCTAAAAACGAGAACAATGATCAACCATTACCGAACCTCATGAGCAATGGTTTCTTCACGATCAAGTCATATTATAATCACTTAGTTAAGAATGAAGTAGCAAAACCAGGTTTCCGTTTCAGCAAATATTAAAGGTGGATACTCCTCCTAGAATTACCTTTTTTTGCATGGGAGGCAGGACCTTGTGTATTTTGACAATTGACAAATTGATGAGGGAAAATATTATAGTGAATGATCGTATTCTTTATAAGATCTGGTAATCATTTATGCTTTGGTGCCCCTTCGTGCACAAATTACGGACAATGATTTATTGATTACTGGAGATTAGCTAGGCTATTACTGACTTGGTAAGAGATGAGATCTGAGATAAAAGGACATTAGTAATGGGAGGAAACACATGGGACTCATTCCTCTTACCATTTCATGGTGGTGTATAAGGAGAGATAAAATGAAGTTTTTGAGGGGTTGGAAGAGGATTTTGCTAGAATTAAAAACAGATGGCTCCAGATATTGGGTTTTTTTATTATGGGGCATCATATTCATCCTTTTGAGGAGTTTGGGGATTTAATTAACATACTGACTTACTTATATTTTTGTATATGGGTGGCATCCCCTTCGCATCCATCAAGGATCACTGGTAACTCTTAATCTCTTGTATAAGGATCTCCCTTCGCAAGATTATGTACAGATCATCAATCTTTTGGACATTTTCTCTTTGTAACTACGTATATCATTTCGACTTCTTGGTGACCTCCAATCTTATTTCTTTTTTTTTCTTGAAAAAAAGGGATTCTGGCTAGAGGATATCTTATCCACTCTTGTATATTCTCCTTATGTTCTATAAATTCCTCTTTTATAAAAAAAAACAAAAAATCAATAAGAAAGACAATGATTTGAAAAGTCCAGCTTACTATCAATCCCACTAGAAAAGAGTCAATGTTTGATTCAAAATAAGGTGACATATATCTCCAGCAGATGCTTTGCTTAACCGCATGAAATACTGAACAAAAGAAAAAACAGGAAGGAAAACTTGGAAATTCAAAACCAATAACAAAATCAGAGTTATTACTAAAAGCAGAAGTTCAACAATGGCTATCATACAAAAACCACTTTTTGTCCATGAGAAGATATCCTTTAAAGGTTGCAGGAAAGAGCAGTACTAGCAGGCCTACATTACCATGCCCCCATCTCTCACTGGACAATTCACTTCCATCCCTACAAATTTAAGAAGTAAACTATTGGGAATAAACTACCCCCCTAAGTATGCTGCAAGATCTATAATACATATCCACAAGATTTAAATTATCATTAGAGGACTTCTCTGGAAGAAACTATGATTCATAGTTAAAAAATGCAACTAAAACATGCCAAGTCTCGTACTTTCACAATAACTCCTTATAGTCCTTGATGTCACCAAGAGAAGGTGAATATTATAGTACTTACAAAAGCAAGTAATTAAAAATGAATAAGACATATCATAGTAAAGATTAGAATAAAGTCACTCAATTCAACTTTTTAAACAAAAGAAGAAACATTACTAAAGAAAGAAAAGAGATGCAATTAAAGGACAAACTATTCTCCAAAAGGAACAGAAAAGAAGCAAACGCTGTATTAGCACAAGATGGCATCCCAATCCCTCGATAACATGGATAAATATGTCACTAACATTATATGGAGCACCCCGTGGAAAGGGGAAGCCTACCTTCAAAAGTTGTAACACAAATTCAACAGCTTCCCTTGGGCTTTTCTTGTCAGCAGCTCTTACCATTGCAACAGCATGTGGAATCGCCTGAAATAACCCCAAAAAGAAAAGCATGATTGTAAGATATGATACTATAAGTAGGTTGAGTGAAAAGTAAAACACCCGTATGTGCACTTCAAGAGAAAATAACCACAGAAAAAATGGAAGCATACTCTGGATCTAGGTTACCAAAAGACAACATTATCCTCTATTTACTATTTTGTGTAACTAATAAATACTATTATTTTATAATATAAAAAACTCAGCTCAAAATATTTATAAAAAAAAATAAAGAAATATGGTCTATGCATTAATTCACAAGCACCAAGGAGATACCACCTATGTACAAAATTATTTACAAATCAATGAGTATGTCTATAGCATTATTAATGATTACATTATTAATTACTACAAAAACAAATCAATTATAATAAAATCTGTGAAGAACTATTCTCATAAAATAAAATACAAAAGCAACTTCTCTGCTCTGGACCAAAAAGTTTAAGTTTTCAGGTTAGGAGCCATTTTATTGCTTTAATTAATGAGTACAGAAGCATCACCTAAATGCAGTGTTATGATATAAAGTCAACAAATCTCCTTTTATCCCTAATTATGACAAAAAGGACCCCTTTAAAGGACCTATTGTTTCTTTCCCACCAGATCACCTGAAAAAATTGCTGAAGAAGAGGGCTATTTTCCCCTAGTTTCTTCAAGATATGCATACCATCCAAGCCCATACTTCAGCTGGCTGCCACAAAACACTCTATTGCCCAACTCATATTCACCAGAGACAGGATTGTTTCCCATGAAAAAACAGGTCATGAAGCACCGCAAAGTTCCCTCACAGGGCAACAATTATTCCATTCCCAGCTCCATAACATCACAATAGCTGTCTTTAAGGTAGAGATATGACCATTTTTCTGTTTCCATTAATTCCTTTTTCTTCAGAGACTTTCTTAAACCATCCCATTCCTAAAAAATATTCTGCTTCTATTGGGAAGTAGAGACCAAACAAATTATATTATAAAAGCTATTTGTCACTGACTCACTGATGACATGCTAGAAAACTCAGCACTTCCTCAGATCATTGCATTCCCAAACTTTTCGTACTTAATGTTATCATCTTTTTCTTTGTGTCTATATAACAAGCTGATTTGGACACATCTACCAACATTTCACGCATGGAAAAATCAAGAATCGAACAGTGAATCAAATGGTTATCTATTCCTAGGTCTCTAGTTACTTGCCAATTTTCTGCTTCAGATTTTTTTTTTCCAGATTTTCAGACGAGCAGGTCATACTATACTGAGTGGAGATTTTTGCAGGGTATTACTGTTCACTTGCTCTAGTGGCTTCCCAATTTCTGAGGCAGTAACCACGCCCATTATTTAGTCTCTAGTTTGTTTTAGATAAACAAAGAAGACTTTATTGAGAAAGAGAAAAAGAAAAAGAAAATTCCAACAACGGAGAATAAGACATCCTCCAAAAGATACAATGAGAACCCAAACCCGAAGAGAGAGAAGGAAGGAGAAAGAAAGACAAACAAACAACAAGGCTATGTGCTTTTAATAAAAACATCCCAACTTCTATGGAGAATGGAGATGCTAATGTAACAGAAATGACCATGCGCTTTGGCCCAAAGGTAAGTGCCTGCTGATAAAGATTTTAGAGTTCCTAGCGAGCCAAAAGCACCAATGATTAGCAAAGAGCACTCCTTGCCACAGTGTTAGAGCCTCTTTTGTCACTCCTCTCTCATTAATAGTAACAGTGAGGAAAGTTTCCACCAATTGAGGTGACACCCAATAACCACCGAATAAATTAAAAATATTTGTCCCCAATTTCCAGGTAGTGTCACAATGTATCAACTATATATCCAAAATCCTCCATCCTATTTATATCATGACCCATTAAACTATACCCAAACAATGAAACCACTTATCCCTTAGTTTATGAATACTATTTTCCACCCCCTCAAAAATCCTACTATTTCTCTCTTTCCAAATGACCCAAAACATAGTCAAATGAATTATTTTAGTACATTTTTCCTTTCTACATAAGCTTCCCCAAGCCCATTACCCATCCTTGACTGGCCCCGCAATGACCTGAAAAATCCCGAACAAACCATAGACCATAGACCACAGACCACAAGATAAAAGTCACCGGGCACAAAAGAAGTAAATAGTTGCATGTTTCCGCTGCCTTCTTGCATAAATAACATCTGTTTACCCCTCTTTACTCTGCCTCTCCTCATTAACTTACCAATGGCTAAAATACATTCTCTACCAGCTTCCAAAGCAAAGAACACAATTCTAGGTATTACTTTCAATTTCCAAACATGCTTGGCAGGGAAAACCTGCCCTTCCATTTCCCCTCTAGTAGTCAGATAATTATACAACGATCTCACCAAGAAGGAGCCATTCTTATTCAATTTCCATATGAGCTGATCACCACTCGGATTCAGATGAACATTGGCTAAGAGTTGGAATAATTCTTCATATTCCTCCACTTTCTAGTCATTCAAATTTCTAGTCACACTCCCTATGGTCCAAAGATTGAAATCTTTGTAATATTCTGAACCACCCCCCACTGACACCCCCTGGGAAGATGCAGAAGTTATCTGCCAACACTTTCCTCATATGTGCTTGCGATAATGGACAATTGTGCAAAAGAAGGGGAGGATATATTATGCACATATCAGTCTCCATACCTAATCACCTGCCAAGTCAGAAGCCTGTGCCAAGTCAGCATAAGATCTACCAATGTTTCACACATGGAAAATTCAAGATTTGAAGATAGAAACTTTATGGTTATCTCAACTAGGATCTCTAGTTACTTGCTGTTTTTCTGTTTCAGATTTCTTCCAGACTATTAGGCAGATAGGTGGTATTGCTGTACCTGCTGGGTTTTCTTTAGGAACTTACTGCCTACTTGCCTTAGTTTCTTTCCTAGTTAGGGGAGAGTTACCATGGTCATCATCTAATTTCTAGTATTTAGGCAGTTGTTGGAAAGAAAAAATAATCAAACAGAAAATTGTCCTAAAAATTGTGAGTTTTAGTTCTCTCAGACAGGCCCAGCCTACTCCTAATCATTGATCACAAAAGCCAAAGATTCCCTAAACCTGCTTTCACCCAATCCAATCCTACTCTCTCAATCCATAACTAGATCCCAATACAGGACCCTAACACGAGCACATTTCTTTAAATCTTAGTAAGGATTAATGTAAGGCTGGTACATGTTGTTATACAACTACATGATGTACAGAAAAATTCTTCTTTGTACTTCATTCTTCTAGTGCCAAAAATTTATTAACGATCTTTGCATTTTCTTGGTTTATTTTTTTGGATAAAAATCCTCAGATGTCTCTTTTTCTTCTTCCAGCAGCAAAACATGCTCAATAATACACCTGTGGCATATGAAATAAAATAATTTCAAGAAATAATACCAAAAAATTTTAAATTATTCAGTAAAGTAAGCAGGTTAAAAAGATAATTTATCTGAATCAGATGGAAACTCTTGATGATCAAGGCAATTTCAAAACAGATCAGTCAAAAAATGGGGTTCTGAAGAGAATTAATGCCTTTATTTGACATAAGTTACTCAATAACTAGTTGAACCAACTTCACTGAATATAAATGCCATATCATTAAATCCACACAGCATACACATAACAAATTAACACATATCCTACCTCTTTGCATTACCTCAAGTACAAAGTACTCTGGAAAATCACGGAAGTCATTTGGCCTATATAACAAGAGAGAAGAAAAAATACATTTGGTTAAAGGGTGTTTAAACAGGATGGTCATAAATCATACTCCTCAAGCCAAGAACCTTACTTGGGGAGTCCAATGTTTGTATCAAATCTTCGACCTTTATAAAATTTTACCAAATGGAGTAATCCAGCCCAATCAGTTTCCTGCTAGCCAACAAAATAAGAAATCCCAAACATCAACATTCACTTTTTCATGGCAAATGAGAAAAAGGGAGGTGAGGTAGGGAAGCAGAGTGTTCTCATTTAGAAATGCAAACAGATAAAATAAATCAAATATGAAATGTATTTCACAACCCAACAAAGTTTAATGGCTTAGCATAAGATTGTTAGTTTGGAAACCTAGACATAATATCAATTCTCAGTTCACTAATCCCTTCAAAAGTAAAAATATTCTCAGGTAATCTGAAAACTTACATGGACATACTCCTGTCCTAAAATTTTCTTCTTTCTTTTCTTTTTTCAGGAACTGTACTTTCTCATTTTCAAACCTTCCTTTGCACTCTTAACTGCAATTTCAAATGCTAAAATTCCAACTTTGCAAACCTTAACCTACTACAATGGAATTGAGCAATTGTGACAAATTACCCAATTCTGATATATAGTACATTATTCTTACAAAAGCAAGCATTGGTGTAGTAGCCAAACATTCATAACATGTTTTTTTTTTTAAATAACAAGAAAAATATATTAAATCAGCACCAAAAAGGGGGTGCAACCCGTATACAAAAATACTTACGTTTCAGTTAGTCCAAACATTCACAAGATGTCAGAAGGTATTTGCCATCAGATTACTTTATCTAAATAGCTTTCACTGCTATTGGTCAGGGAAATTTTTTAATAAAATATAAAAGTACTAAGTGAATGAAATGGGTAAGACAAATAAATTCACGAAATCTCAGTAATAAGATAAAATAGTATTATAGTACCTCTGATGCTGTTTTTGCCAATGCAAATGCTGCATCTATTCGGACTCTCCAAAAGGCCTTTATTCCATACAAAAAGTTCAGAAAATCAAATTATCTCTAACATTTAAGAACCACTATGAGGTATACCTCTCGAAAGGATACTAACCTTGGAATCACTGAGGAAATTATTCAGTGCATTGACAGTAGAAAACGAAAGCTGTGGTAAAGACTCCAGTGCCATGATAGCTTGTGCCTGAGCAACAACATCTTCATCCCTCTCTAATTGATTTATCTGATATCCAACGTAACATATTTTCATTATGTTTATAAAGAAAACATTCCAAACTTGGTGTTTCGCAACATAAAGAGATTTAAATTAATAGTGTTATCTGCTTCTTTATAATGATTCCAAATATTTTCATAAAAATGTGTATGCTCAATTAGAAAAATAAAACTCCAACTAGTACAAGAGTTAGTTAGGATTAAAAGGGGGAAAACAAAAGAATTTGAAGTCAAATAGGAATAGTGGAAAGAAAGGGGTATTTTCGGAAGTAACAGCTATTTGGGTGAGAACAACTTTATACCACCATTTTATACAAACAAAGTTGTTTTAATTATAGTTTTCGAATCAAGATTCAGACCATGAATTAAAAAGTTCATTTTTCTTTCAAGTCAAGAATCAAAGTTGTAACATTCAAAACATAATTCATTTATCGAAATATATTGTCATGCACATATTCTTTTTTAAGACAAAACATAGAAAAATAAAATACTTTAAAGAAATTATATTAATATTTTAGACAATCAAAAAATATATTCATTCTTAGAGCAAATTTTGGAAGTATTATAGCTTGTAAGTAGATATAATACGTAACTTAGATATTTTTACTAGATTTAGTTTTTAAAAAAATCGACTAAATCGCAAAAGTTAAATCAAATTTATTAACCTAAAACTCAGGAAATATTGTGATTCAATTCTATTACCCACACAATTCTAACCATTTTGTTAACTAAACTGAATCATAAGATTTGAATCATGAACTGTAAGCTTCTGACAAATTGGTTCTAATTTTTAGAGACTTTTGTACTGTTTAGTTCACATATTTTGCCACTAAACAAAGGACTAGACTAAGTCATTATATTCAGCTCTACAATTTTCAAGTCAAATGCTAACTAAATCTATTAGATGGTGGAGCAAGTCCACTAAAAAATATGTTCTTTTCTTTTTTTTTCCCAAATAACCCATAACATGAAGATATGAATGATATTGAGAAGTTTTATTTTTTTAATAAAAAGTATAACTAGTACATTGTATCTACAGCACCAAGGGGTGCAACTCATTTACAAAATATTTACAATTCTATTAGACTATCAATGACATGCCCAAAATACTCCACCCTATAAATGTCATGAACTAAAAGCAAAAAAACAAAATAATGTAATCATTTATCCTTAATTTTTGATATATCACTCTGAACCCCTAAAAAGTTCTTCTATTTTTCTCTTTCTACACCACCCAAAAAATAGTCAAATAAATAATATTTACATATATTTTCTTTTTACAAACTCCCTCTCAAGTCCAAATCTCCTCCTTCACTGAGCCTGCAATAACCAAGTTAATCCCTAACAAACCATACACCATTGACCATAGATTATAAACCACAAGGCACCATAAAAATAGTCAAAGGTTTATCCTGTGTTTACCACACTTTAACACCCAACCAAGCCCAAATCTCCTATTCGATCGACCCAACTTTTACCCAAGTCAAATAAAGAAGGCATAAAAAGCACTTACTAAAATCTTCTATCCTTTAAGCGCCACAAGAGAAGATGATTGAGGAATTCATGTACCCATTAACTAAAAATCTCCCATCTCCTACTTAAGTTGTCCATGGTAAGGATTCTCGTCTAAACAGCTTCTCGAACTTTTTTTTTTTAAAATAAAAAGCTAAGAAAATTATTATTCACAAAGTGCCAAAGGGGGCACCACCCATATACAAAACATTTACAGTTGTATTAGGGTGTAAATGACATGCCCAAAATCTTTCATTCTAATAATATCATATTCTAACAAGATAAATCCAAAATAATGCAACCATCTATCTTTAAGCTTACTATTTTCTACTTCTTTACTACCAAAGGCTCTACTCTTTATTTCCTTCTATAAAACCCAAAAAACAGTTAAACGAATAATCTTTACAAAATCCCTTTTTTTTACATAAAACCATTCCAAGCACAAACCTCATCCCTTACCGAACCAGCCATGACCCAACTAATGCCCAATAATCTGTAGATCATACACCAAAGGCTATGAGCTATAGGACACCAAAGCAAAATGTGATTACATGATTCCGCATCATCTGTGCATAAGTAGCACCTGTTAACCATAATCAGTTCCGTCTTCATCAAACTGTCAATAGTCAATATGCTTTCTCTGCAAGCTTCCCACAGAAAGAAAGCCACTCTAGGAGGAGCAATATTTTTCCAGATTTAGGAAGCCGGGAAGAAATCACCCCTGCATTGGTCAGCCCCCAAAATGTGAAAATAATATATATTGACAGAAAACTCTTGCCTCTTGCCCAGTTTCCACACAATTCTCTTGACTCCAAGGTTTTCAGTGGACATTCATATTCAGTCACCTCCCAATCATTTAAATTTCTACTAACATTGACCATCCAAGTCACTTTCCCATTAATTATCTTGTAGGGCTCTTCTATCTTGATATTTTTTGGAACGGCAATCACATAAATGCTGGAAAAATTGCTCGTAAGGATGGTATTCTCCACCCACACATCCTAACTTTGTAAATTTGTAAATGAGTGGTACCCCCATTGCTATCCTGATAATATATATTCATACTTTTTATTCAAAAAGAAATTCTCCACACACACATCCTCCCAAAATTTAATGCAGTCACCATTGCCAACTCGCCACTAAATACACTCTTTGAATCTTAGCCCAACCCATCATAATTTTTTTTCCATAAACCATATCCATGTGGTCGAAGTGTTTTACCAAAAATGAGCACAGCATTAGCATCCCCCCATCATCTTCTTTAAGATACCGGCACACCTATTTCCCTTGAAGAGTCACATTCATCTCAACAAGAGACTTAATACCCAGCCCACCATTATATATCGGTTTCTTCACCTCTTCCCATTTGACTAAGTGAAATCTTCTCTTCTCATTATCATCCCCCCAAAGAAAGCGCCGTTGAATTGATTTTATTCTCTTTGCAACCTTCACTGGCATAATAAGAGCGGATAGATAATAAATTGGTAGGTTGATGAGTGTGCTCTTAATAAGATTGAGCCTACCCCCTTCCAATAGAAATTTTCTCTTCCATCCAGCAAGTCGGCTCTCAATGGAGTTTATCATCGGTTCCCACGTACAAGAATCTTTATATTTGGAGCCCAATGGGATACCCAGATAAATGATAGGTAGCTTAGCTGCTTTGCACCCTATAATGCCAGCAAGGTGGTTCTCGTTACTTGTGTTGCCGAACCTTACCAATTTTGTCTTCCTTAAGTTGATTTTAAGACCAGAAACTAATTGAAAGCACATCAAAACACATCTCAAGTGTAAGAGACTTCTAACCTCAGGCTAACAAAAAATCAAGGTATCATCGACAAAGAAAAAATGTGACACCTGAACAGCTCTAGAACATTTCCCAACAGTTATACCTTTCAACAAATTTAGATCAATAGCCCTGCCAATCAAAGCATTCAGTGCCTCCATTACAACTAAAAACAATAATGGAGAAAGGGGGTCACCCTGGCACAGTCCGCGAGAAGTAGAAAACAAAGTGGATGGTCCGCCATTAACTAATACCACAAAAGAGGTGGTAGTGACACAACTGTTCATCTAATTAATCCATTTTTGTCCAAAACCCATTCTTCTCATCATATATGCAAAAAATTCCCAGCTGACATGATCATAGGCCTTCTCAATATCTAACTTTTACATAAGACCCCTTCTTTTTTGTTTGATATTAATTCATCAACCACTTCATTTGCAGCCATAACCGCATCCAAAATATGTCTTCCACCCACAAATGCATGTTCACATTCCCCAATAATTTTTCTTAAAATCTTTGACAATCTATTAGTCAAAACTTTTGCAATTAACTTGTATATGCATCCCACAAGACTAATGGATATGAAATCTTTAATATCCTTTGCACCTCTCTTTTTAGCAATTAGCACTAGAAATGTAGAATTGAGGGACCTCACAAGTTTACCAGCGTCATCCAGGTCCCTAAACCAAACCGTAACCTCCTCCTTGATTAAAAGTCAAAAGTCTTGTAAGAACTTCAAGTTA